TACTAGGCCCAGCTCACACACCACCCCCTCATCCAGCCCTCCTTGGGCCTGCCTCCTGCACCTCCTTCTCCGGGGTTCTTTGCTTGCCCCAGCTCCCTGCCCTCCTCGCGGAGCCCGGCTCCTGCACCCCCTCGTCGGCTGGCTCTTTGCTTGCCCCAGCTCCCTCACCCTCTCCCTGGGCCTGGCTCCCATACCCCCTCCTCAGCCTGCCCTTCTCCCACCCTAGCTCCCAGACCCCTTTCTCTTCCTTCCCTTCTTTCACCCAGGCTCCCCCCCGTACTCCCTCCTTCTCTTTTTGTTTTCCTGTTTCTTTAGATCCCACCAAAGCTAGACCTTCCCTCCCCTAACTGCTGGACAGCCCCGGCTGGTTGGTGAGCATCTGCTACCCCTCAGTAGGTTGGGCAGAGTGGAGAGTTGAGTCGCGGAGGCTTGCTGGGGGCGAGTGCTCTGGGCAGAGTAGAGTCCAAAATGCAGAGAAGAAGCTTTAGAGTGAGTCAACATGCTCTTACATCAGCGGACAGCTCATCTGATCCCTGACTCTTTGCAAGACGCAGGCTGGGATTTTCAGGAAAGCTCAGCTCCTGTTTAGCTCCCCAAAGGCTGTGCACGTGGAGGTGTGCAGGCAGCTGCGCGCTCTCTCCACCAAAAGGCCAAATTGGTCAGATTGGAGTCAGCTTTGGTCCAGAAGCCTTGTAGCTGTGTTAGCACGATACTGTGTCCGGTTCACTGAGCTCCAGCCTCGCTTTTTTCCTTGGTGGCTAAATGGCAGCTGAACTCTTCTAACAATCTGACCCAGTCCCCGTTTTAAATAGCAGGTAATAAAGGGGGAGTTTGTGCAGCAAGCTGAGCTCCAGCTCTGGGAATGGTCCAAGCTGCAGCTGGAGTGCTTTATTTCATTGTTTTGGTGAAGTATTTTAATGTAATGTTTAATGCTTTAAAAGCAAATAAATTGTCTTCGTTACACAATGCAGTCCTCCTCCTGGCCATCTTCATGCTTGTTCATGTACTGTATGGCTCAGAAACCCACCCACGTCCCAGAACAATATTAAACTTCTAAGGCCTGATGCTGAGACGGACAGAATCCCTGCAGGTCTTGTTGATGTCAGTGGGGGACTGGGCTTTAAATCTCCCTCCGTCAGGACCTTAAGCAGATCAGCCTTCTGCAGTTGAACTGATGCAACAATGAAATCAGTGTCATAGGATGACACTGCAATCCTGCAAATTTAAGCTGGATTGTTTTTTGTTGGGTTGGGTTTTTTGGTGCAGACTGTGGAGCAAACTTAATATAAGGAACAGTTTTTACTACTTACTCTAAATGTAAGTCAGCTTACTTTTCCTTTCAGCCATTTCTTCCTGCAGGCTCTTGTTTGATTTCCTTATAAAATCCGCAAAACTAGGCGTTGCATATGTTTTTCCCTTTTTAAGGTTTTAGGTGCAAATGTCTAAGCGCATGCTTTTTCAGATCCTCTCTGCTTCTGTTGTATGTTTTCAGTACTAAAGACAAACTTGTCTCGCTTCAAACCCAATTGACGGTTTTGCCTGACCTCAAGATTTTATTCGTGGCACTAACTGGATACTTTCATAATAGTCTCAGAGACCGGAGGAAAGAGGGGCCAGACTGGGCCTTTGAACTTTGGCAACTAAACTCTGAGCTATGGAGTTTGGAGGAAGTTTGGGACAAATTAGTGGGACAAAGAGCAAAAACACGTGTTAACTGCTGCCCATTCTGCACAGCGTCCTCTGCATGAGACCTTGTTCTGTCAGTCCAGTACCTAGCATTACTACCATGTTCACACACAATAAATACAAATATATATATATATTGTGCTTTAGTCCTCCCATCTGTAGTTCAGCAAGATTGAACAAGGTTAGTACTTGGATAGGAGACCTTCCAGGAGAGTTTAGTTGCTGTAGGAAATAGCAGTGTTCACTTACTGAGTAATATTTTTCCAGTACTGAAGTCAATATTAAGCTGACAGTGTCTCCTGGTTCTGGGGATGATGAGCTATAGAAATTCCAGCTTTGAATAGGGTATGAAAGCAAATTCTTGAGCGTTTTCGGTCATGATGGGGCTTTTGGCATTTTACCACAGAGTAGGAGAGTATCCTGGCCAAATTCCAGCCTGGGTAATTACATTCTGCTGACTGAAATTGAGCAGCGGTTATTGCTGTGTTTCACTGTTGGGCAAAGTGATCTTCACGTAGGGGCTTAAGTTTGTGAAGCGACTTAGGATAAAGCAGAATGAATGGGACTTACAGAAATGTCACTTTAGCCTTCACAACTCCCTCCTGAAGGCCCAGTGAGGCTAGTCAGTTTGCTATTGCATTCCTTTAAATGCCAGTGGTGCAACTGCTGGGGCGTTGCTTGGAGTGGCTGTGGCAATGTTTCCCCATCTGGGGCTGTGAACCGTTGCAGTTCATAAGACATCGCAGGATGTCTTCAGCGACAGTTGTACTTTCTTATAACACGTATACACATTCCCATGCGTCAAGCAAGGAGACAAACAGAATGGGAGAAAAAGAAATAATAAAAGAACATTCCAAGTTTTCTTTGTTTATAAATTAAAATATTGTGACAGTGCCGTTCAGGCTGATCCGTGGTTGGTGTTTAGTTTTCAAAAAGGCTAAGTGAGCTTTTGATTGGAAAAAAAGGTAGAGAAACTCTGATGTAAGATATAGAAGGCTACCTGGAAGTGTATTTCCTATCATGTATGTACCCCTGATGTTTAACAATTTTTTCTCTCCCTGACCTTCCCTACTTTATTTTGTACCCAGATTTTCTTACTTCTGTCTGAAATCTGCCTTATAACTTCACAAGTTTTCAGGAGAAGATCACTGTGTTTCACTGGGATAGGAATATTGCAGCTGCTTCATAGCAGGAAGATGTTATACGTATTACAGCTTAATTCTGTTCTACTTTAAACCTAGATAAAGAATGAAGACTGTCTGTACCATTTTGATTACCTCTTCTAGGGTTCAAAGAGAGAATCATTTCCCCTGACCTTCATTTGCTAATGGCTCAGCTTGATCTAACCAGTATACAGATAAACGCGCTGTTAAACAAACGTTCTAGTAGGAAGAACCATCTCAATGTCTAAAATTCCTTTGCCCCTGCTGGTATCAGTGGCTCTTAGTAAGCAGCTAAAATCTCTGCTCCACAAAGTAACGAGAGCTATTCACAAGAAGCTTTTATGTGAACGGACAATTCTGCCATCCTCTTAAAAGAGATGAGATGAAGGACCCTTCACGATGACAGCTCTGCAAGCTCCAAATACGAGAAACTCCTGCGTGAGGAGTCTTACGCTTTATCTCCAGAATGACCTTCGTTCCTGTTAGGCTAATTTCACCTGTAGTCACAAGTTTTGCTTTTGGGATTTAGACCATCAGTAGCCACGGAACTCTTGCATAAATCACCTTTTTTCTCTCTCTTTTTTTTTTTTCCCCCCCCCCTCTATTTTACGAAGACTGTTAACAGAGCTATTAGTGGAATAAGCAAAGCCAATATTCACACGGTTTAACAGTGTACCTATAGCACCTTTTGTCCCAAGATGCCTTACCAATGCCATACAGCACGCGTGTCCCAGCGTGCTACTTGTCATGAAATTTCCTTTCACTTAGGCACCACCTTAGTTTCCCAAATTGACTGTTAGGGACATTTCAGCAAATAGCACCTCATACTCAGACACCGCCCAAAGCTGCCTTTCAGAGCTGAGAGCTTTCTCCGCGAATGCATTCAGAGCTAAGGAGACCATGCGCGCACCGTGCGTGTTGATGCCGTGCACCTAATGGGAACACCGTGACGTAACTGAGGGAATGGCAGAAGGAGGGCACGCTGGCGCTCCTCCTGTCCGGCTGTGGGTGCGACGCGTAGGTGTTTACTGTGATGAGCACCGCAAAACGTGGCTCGTGGCTGCGGAAGAGGCAAGTGTCCTTTGAGCTTCCCAGTGATTGTAGCTTTGATAATGCAGGTGCCTCTACTGCCTTGCCGGTAACTGCCTGCTCTTTTTGTTACTCTCCCCCAGGAGGAAGGTATGCTGAGGGCCCGGATCCAAAGAGTTCAGGTTCCCCTGGGTGAGGCGCTGCGACCCAGCCAGCTCCCCCCATCCCGGCTGCCTCATATGTGGCAGCTGTCCCAGGGTGAGCAGTACAGGGATAGTAACTCTCGCGTTTGGGAGATAGAGCACCATCTCATGGTAAGGATGGTGGCGACGTTAGACCATAGTCATTCCTGTTTGTGAAGTCGTTTGAGATCCTTGAGGGACGACAAAGGACTGTTATTTTACTGAAGTCCATTAGCTCAGCCAGGGTAACTGTAGACGTATTGAACTTTTCCTTGTCGCTTACAGCTTGGTGGTGTTGAAGAACTGCTGCTTAAACTCGTGCCTGGTGATTAATCTGGTACGTGTAGATGTTACCCTGCTTTTGTACTGTGCTCTGTTTATTCCCGGTCATTCTTTAATATGAATTTTTGTCTTTCAGGAGCAGTGGCTCTAGGAAGATGTCCTTGTATGTTTTGTACAATAAATGATTCTCTCTCCACTGAAATGCAGCCACCTCTGAGGTGGAAGCAGTTAAACAACACACAGCAACATCACACGAGAGTTTAGGACAGGCAGTGAAGAAGAGTATCGTGTCCAATTGAAACGTCAGGGGGAGTTCTAGGTAGGCAGAATATGATCGCCCCAAGCGGAGTTTGGCCAGGATGCTGGAGATAATGCCTTAGCTGTACTGAAAAGTGCTGTGGGACAGTGCAAGTCCAAGTGTGGACGGAAGCCTGAAGGGCAGCACCTCCCTAGGTCGGGGCAGGCGCAGGGGCGGAAGAGTGTCTGAGAGGGAGCTGATGTCTCAGCACCACTTTCTGTAGCAGCAGTACTTTCCGTAGAGGTCTCCCATCCAACTGCTGGTCCCACCACCTTTTGCTTGTCTTTTGGTCCGTCACGAGAGATCACAATTGCAGGCGTCACAGCTGCAGAAAGTCAAATTGAGTGTCTGGGATCCTGCTTTACGGTGATTTGAATATGATGGAGCTGTTCTCCAGTATGTTTCTCTTGGGGGATTTCCAAGAGGTTTTCTAAAAACAAAAAAACAAACCCTCATAATTTTTTGCAGGACATACACAACTATGGTTTTTTTTTTCTTTTCTTAGTTCCTCCTCCAGATGCAGTTGTATGACAAACACCAAACCCCTGGCTATATAGAGCTCACAGGGAAGGCCTTTACTCGAATACATGTTTTAGTATAAGGCTTAGAGGCATGCAACTATCCCAAAAAATCAGCTACGTCCATTTGACTCTCTGTTCGGAGGAGGGAATTCTGTGTTTCCAAGTGGAAAAGGACACATTTTGACCAGAAAAGAAAAGAAAAGAAAAAAAAAAGGCCTTCAAGCTTAGCAACATGAAGCTTCCCTGTATTTGTTATCCACGTTCTCATCCTCTACCAGAGACAGAGCTGTTCGGTATTGAGGCATCTTACAAGTTGCTGCCTGGGGGAGGTGTGCGGTGAAGATTTTGTGTGATGGTTGGGAGACTGAGGAATTCTTGTGTATGTTGGCAGTCGTATGCAAGCAGCAGTAGGCGTTCTCTGAGCTGTAGCCCATCATACTAAATGTGCTAGCGAAGGAATTTGGGGGCTGTTTAGAAGTCTTGGTTGTAAGGGAATGCCTTGCCCACCACCGAAAAAAGCACATTGTTTCTACAGTAACATTTTCCTATCATTTTAGTTCTCTGACCATGTCCCAGAAGGATCCCTGCCAGAAACAAGCCTGTGAAATACAGAAATGCTTGCAAGGTACCAAGCGTCGTTTTATCTTTTTGGTGTCTTGATTTTTGGTGGAACTTTTTTCCTTTAAATTAACCCTATTCTCCTTTCACCTTGAGAAGGAAGACAGCAAGCCCGTTAGTGTGACCTGGGTGCAAAGCAAACAATGTCTTGGTTTGACAGACTTTTCTTGTGTTTGATTTTGAATAACAAGACACCATTAGTACAACACAAAAGTGTTTGTGACAGTGATGTACTATTTCAAACAACGTCTTCTCCATGCTCTGGTCAGAGCCTGTGAGTCTTGGGACTAGGCTGCGGGCAGGGAGAGTTAAACGTTAAAGTGAGCTCTCTTACAGAGGGGCTAGTGCAGTATTGGGTGGATTGTGTGGGAAGACTGCAGAGCCTCTAGCTCTATGGGTATCTTAAGAGCAGGTCAGATGTGGGCGTCTGTCAGGTATGGATTAGGCACAGGTGATCTGGCCTCAGAGCTGATATAGTTTGATGTCTTCTGGAGAACTTTAACAGCTGTTTTGTATTAACCTAGCTAACTATTTGTAGGGGAGAGGGCGCTTCTGTGATAGTGTCCTTTGGGAGAAGGCTTCTATTAGCTTGAGTTGGGGAGAGCAGACTTCTTGTTACTCATAGAGGAAAAAAAAATATATAAAGAAAGATTCATTGCCTCTTGGAGAAAGACTTACCCTAGGAAATGAATAAGAGAAAGCATTCCTCAGCGTGGGGAAGAGTTCCTCCTAACTCGCCTGGCTGAGCCCTTAGCCAGCGTGCTCTGAGCTTCGGTTGAAAGTAACTCAGTGCGTTAGCTCAGGGGTGGCGAGAGAGGGAAGGCTAGGGCCACCCCGCGAAAAGCAGCCAGGCCAGTTCCACAGAAATTCATGTCTGCGTTTAGTTTCTGTGCAGACTTTGAGTGGGTTAGCTGAAATGTAATGTGTGGGTGAAGTCTTGCTGGGGAAGTCGAGAGACGGCTCTGCAAACGTGGTGGTTGCAATCTGTGCGGGTAACGCAACAGCCTCGGATAGGCTGATGCAAGAGCATAGCAGGAAAAGCATCTGAAAAAAATGAGGGAAAAGCCATGATCAGTTATCGATGTCTGTCTTTCCCAGGATTGTTTTTTGGAAGCTGCGATCAGCTTGAGGCAAGGGCTCAAACAAACCACTCTCCATGCCCCCAAACTCTGTGGAAATAATGCCTGCTTTGCTCGTGCTCGCTTGACAGTTTGGCGCTTTCTCATGGGACGGGCTGGCTGACGTCTCTCCCCATAGTACCTGCACTTAAAAGCTAATGGTTGAGCCCATTTTGGTCCCATCTGTGACAGTATTATTTTCGTAGCGCTCATGGAAGTTATGCCAAATGTTTTACCGGTGTAGATTTGTGTACAGATTTGGTCTGGATGGTTAAATGTTAGCACAGAAGCATTTTTACTCTGCTATGCACACACCCCACTGTCAGCCACGTCTCTAGTTATCATTTCGGAGTTGTGTTGTTGATCATATGTTATCCTGTTTGGGAACTGCCTCAGCTGTACAGATGAAGGAGCTGCGTTCGACAGACAGCAAAGCAGTTTTTCCTATAACAATTAATGTAATAGAGGATGGAAATAATAGGGATGGGTACAGAGACTTAACTGACCAAAACCCAGGGACAATGCATGCAGTGTGGTGGATGGAGAGGCAGGAGCAGGACCTTTAGGAGATGCTGCCTTTTCAAAGGCTGCCACTCTAGAGAGGGGCGTGGGGCTAAAAGATCGTGGCTGCTGCCTCTGGGAGACTAAATGCCCACTGCAAATTGCTTTGTGGTTTGCTATCCATCGTACGACTAACCGTTGTGCTTTTCAGGCACGCAGGCTCGCTGGATAGCAGGGTGTGCCTGTGTGTGGCGCACTCCTCATGGGAACGTTACGGTAGAGAGCGGTTAGCTGAATTTCCCAAGGGTCTGACGTGCCTTCCAGGCTGTCAGCTTCCTTCTCCTCTAGCCCGGGGGAGCCCAGCAGAGGCTCTGAGCTGAAGGTATCCTTCCCAAGCCACCTGGATTTGTTAGTCTTGGTCTCCTAGGGCCTGGGAGAGGCACTGATGGGACTCAGACCAGGCTGTCTCAGCTAAGTTGTGAGGAAGAGTCACTGATAACGGAAAGCTCTGGAGCAGCTGGTCGCTGTGTCCAAAGCTCCTCAACAGCAAGACGTTCAGAGCAAGCTGGAGATGACAGTGGCCTGTCAGGCCCGCAAAAAAAATCTCTCCTTTGGGCTCGCTGGGCAGACTGCAGCTGCCAGTGGTACAGAACAGTAACATCACCACAGCCTTTTTTTCCCCTCAGGAGTGACCCCTATGTTTCCAGCACACATCACGCCCAAACGCAGGGAACGCGTAGCCCAGAGATGAGACCTGGCTGGCTCGCTCATTAACTGGGAAGATTTCTCTGGCTCTTGCTGGGGTCTCCAGTGGACACTAGATTTGTCTCACGCTGGGTTGGCTGTTGAAATCGGGGTGGGGGGGGTGTGGTGGCGAGTGCAGCAGCGTAGCGTTGGTGCCGCTCATCCGAGGCAGCGGTAGGCAGCGCTGCGTGCGCTGCGCTGCTCTGCAGGCAGGTAGTTGTTCGTTGAGCCACCAGCTGCAGTCAGCTGGCGTAGCCCGGGGGCTCCCCTCCGCCAGCCTGGTCTGCAAAGCACTGTGGGATGCGGTGCGGCACGCAACCACGCTGCCGAGCACAGCCGCAGCGAGCCGAGAGCTCAGGCAGAAGGGCTGCTGGACAAACGGGCTATGGTCTGTAGCGCTCGACCCTGCCGGGGCAGCAGAAGTCGCTCAGAGCCTGAAGCAAAGGCAGTACGGCGGCAGTAGAGGGATGGGTGCAGGTGTGCTCCTTGGACAAAGAGCGCTGCGTGCACCCAGTCGTCCCAGGCG